ACGTGATGCCGCCTCCACGCCGTGCCCAACACCGTCACCAATATGGCCGCCATCTGTCATTCCGCTACACCACACCACACCACACCAAACCACAGCACACTATACCGCATCGTCAGCGCCTAGTTTGGGCGTAAGTTTCTTTGTTTTTATTCTCATTTTTAAAGCAAACCGCAGTTATGGGCAAGTAATATTTATCAATAGCTGATAAGGTTATGTTCTATTTGCAATTTTTTCAGCGTGGCAACTTATGACCTTATGTATTTTTCCTGGACGTCGTTTAGGGGTCTCTTCGTGACACTATACTAGCAATTTGAACTTCTTTTGACATTTAGTTGTAGGTGTTTGGTGTTAGGAATTGTGTTTTTTTGGAGGCGGTTCTGTCTTAGTACAATCCTTGATTGTGAACTCTATGAAGTTACTTTGCTTTAACATAAACGCGTTATTTAAAATAAAGGTCTTCCTTCTTCTTGCTAATACGCAGAACTTGCGTCGTATTTCTTTACATCTGGCCCGCCTAAACTTTATAAATACGTTGGCTTGTTCTTGTTGTAACACCGCAATGTATCTATTGAGGTAAATCTAATTTATTGACATTCAAAATATCAAATCCCTAACATAAATGTTTTCCTCCTACTAGTGCGTTATATATTTGCTGACTTTCGGAGTAGCTTTTAAAAGTTTCTCGTTTTAGCAACTTCCAACTCAGTTTCAAATCTGAGGCTTCGTGGGTCTTATATTTTCACACTAAACTAAATCTTTTGTCCTTACATCGCCTTAGACAATTTTGCATTACAAATACAGTAACCGGCAGTATTATCTATTAGTAGGCAAGAGCTTGGTCAAGTATCAAGAATTTTCACATCTGTGGTTTATTTTTCACTGCAATCTTCCAAATTCTGCTTACATCTCGCTTCCTCTAGATTCGAAGTAGCTTCCGGAATTTTGGTCGTGTCTGCCTTTTTGGGATGACCTCTTTTTCGTTACACAAGAGCAAACATTGAGGGTTGCGAGTTGTCTCTGCCGGTTGTTTTATCACAAGGGTTATGTGGGGTTTTTGTTTGTCTGTTCCAGAATCGCAAAGTTTGAACTTGAATCAAGTCGAAATTTCTTTGATTTCCAGCGTTTACTACCTTCAGTAAGGTACCTCGGGCCATTTTGCTGTTAATCCTACTTTTTACTTCAAGCTCATATTGTTCTCAAAGCGGAAATGGGTGAAATCGTTTGAATTATAATATCTTGATCTAAATATCAGTGTAAAACAACTTATTGAAGTGGTAACCTTTGGACAGTTTCTATACATGTTTGTCTTCCGTTGACTGTTATTCCATGTAATTCAGTTAAGTCCATTGAGAGTCTTTCATGGATGATTACTTACCCTTGTTGTTTTTACTGTCTTATCTTGGTTAAGTTTAACCACTTCACACTACTAATCGCCTAACTCGCAGCCAAATCTATCAGTTTGTGTATGTCTTTAAATAAAAATAATTCGAAGCCTTTCATATCAAGTTGTAGCACACCAGTAATTTACGTTTATAAATAAGGTCGTATTCCTGACTAAATAATGTATTTGGTAAGAAATCGAGTTTTCCGTTTCTGGGTCCCAGCAGTCAGTTTCAACGGAACCGTTTTTCATCTTTAGGTAGATGTATGTTGTAAGGTCATCTCGACCATGTCACTTATGGAGGTCGTGTATACGGACACCAAGATAAGTCTCTCAGGACCCAGGAAAATTATTTCCCGTCTGGGCCTACCACAAAAAGTCCCCCCCATAGACCTTTTTCAAGGGTTTGCTAAGGTTGTTATCTGGAGGGAGTCATCGGATGTTCCTCTGGATGTACTTTTCCTAGCTATCTACTCCCGCGCATCAAGTTTATCGGGAAGCATTATTCAAGAATCGACATCGCCATTAGGTGTACCGTCTTGTGACTTCTGTCGACGTGTTCTTTGGTCGTTTCCCACCAAGTCTCCCCTCTTACCCAAGTTGTTACGCTATATTAACTGGTTTTCTATGCTTAAAGCAATTGTCCTGACCATTATTATCTCTGTAGCGTCTTTACATGTGTCGCAACTGAGCCTTTTATCTCTATTTGCCTGTGTTGTTTTTGTAATGCTTTTTAGACGTCTTATTTTTTAATAAGGAATTATGTGTTTATGCCACTATTTAATCATGAATAGATCAAGCAAAAAATGACTCAAGTGCCCACAGAAGCTGAATACGAGAGACGCTTTGAAGGACGTTACACAAATGACGATAAAGAATTCATGGAGTACTTAAATAGACCTCCTCCATCGCCACCAATTTTTGAAAATTGGACCCCCAGAAGGTAAACTTCCCTTTCGGTTTACACTCCTACGTAGTGCCAGGCCTTCAGCTCATAGAAACGGGAGAAACGATGCTCAGAGCAGATTTCCTCCTCGTCAAGACCGTCACAGCTCTGAACGGCACGCACGTCACCCTCATTGACATGCTTGTGTATTTGTATCCTCTGTACCATATTGTTTCCGTTACAAAACTGGCTAAACTCTGTAAGATGCTGTATCTCTACTTAAAATGGCGCTTTTGGTGAGGTGACACAGCACAAGCCATTATTCGGCTCATTGTCATGTTTTTTTCTTGAGCATGTGGTGAGTGTGTAAACATTTGCGGCTACGATCGCATCTACAATGCACCCTCTGAAGTTGCGTTCGTTAAAGAAGACAGTGGAGTGATATTTTATAAAATAGATGAACTGGAAGGGGATTATTTTCTGAAGCATAATAAAAATCTGGGGAGGGGAGATTTTGCGTCCAATAGGATAAACTGGGCAGAAGAGATTTCGGCTGTTTTGACAACAAAGATACAGAAATTGACGAAGATTAAAGCAGGAAAAAGGTACTCGAAGGTAATGCTAGGAGGCTTCACGTCTTCGTCTGTTTATAAGCTCACGTAAAGCAAAATCAGGATAAGCTGTTTTAAAGTCAGCAATGAAGTCGAGAATATCCGAGTCCGGTTTGATGTCGTAGTGACTAAAATGGGAATACGGGACGGTTAAGTTTACCATTTGGTTAATTTTTTATCCAACAGAAGTTTATCAGCTTACGCGGTCCTTCCATCGGCGCTGTCTTGCTTGACGAAGAAATTGATTATCAGAAAATGCTTCCAACATCGCCAAAAGTTGACTATCGGGCCGTGCTCCGGCTTGTGAGTTGCGGCCATGCCTTTGGGGACTTTGGAAAGGAATAAAGGGTTTATTTGTTCCAGTGTAATCAGGTTCTGGAGCGTGAGACCAAGATAAGGGACAAGAGGGGGTGAGGCTTCGGCCAGTTCGCGTCGATATGTCGTGAAATGTGGCGGTTGCATGTAAGGCCGTAGGCGAGTAAGACGCTGAAATATTAAATAAGTACCCAGCTTGTGTGTTAGGATCGAATGGAGTAACGTACAATAGGTTTACTTACTGTTCGAGTTTTCTTGGAGAATATATTTTCGGGGATGAGGAGAAATGCGCACAGTATGGCAAGGAAACTGTTAAAGTTTTTCAGGGAATGAAGGTGCTGTAGGCGAAAAAAGGTTATGCATGAAATCCTGTTAGTGAGAACTCATGGGCAATGACTGATGGTGGAACGTTAAACTTGGGAGAAATCGGGTTTTCACCGGGTGGTGCCATCTAGTGGACTTACATCCATGACTTTGAGCAGCTTGGTGGCGTGACGTTCCCGCTGTGAGGCCGGGGGTGCAAGCAGGAGAGTTGCGGCCCAGTTGGAGAGGGCAGTGAACTGGGCAGCACACGCCGCCATAACTGGGGCTTTCAGTGCCGCTAGCGACTTGATATCGAGCAATTCTTGGAGCTATTAAAAGAAGAAAAGGGAGGCAAATTAAGATTTGTTCCCAGCCCCTATTCCGTTGCCCACTTATATTCCGTGATGCCATTGTGTATTTAAATTTAATTATTCCGCAACACAGTTCTACTTTTTAAAGGCGACCATATTAGTAAGAAGGTCTGAAATATTTGCAGAAAAAATCGAATTCCAAGCGAAATGAGATCTGAATTGGATAGTCATGGGTCACTTAATAAGGTCCTGAAAACCGAGACGGGAATACAAATCCCGAAAGGCTAAAATCCAAGCTCCCTTAATGGTGCTATCGGTGGTGTGATTTGGGATTATTGCTCAGCAAATGTCAATGGGCGGTTGAAATATTTATTTCGCTTTCCGAATTCCACATGACGGCGGTAGTTGTTCAAACACAAACACGAATAAGTTGACGATTGATTTGACATTATTTGGATTTGCTGAAGCAACTATTTATAGGCTTTACTAATAGGCAATCATTTCCGGCGCTGCTGCCATAGAAGAAGCCAAAAAACCCCAAACTTGGTAACGCCCGTATCTATTTTCAGCTGCGAAAATAATTTTGCTAGTCTGCTCGTGCATTGCATGAAAATTATCTTTTCCCGTGTCCACTGAAAATAAGACACGCAAGAAATCCATATTTCATCCAAGAATCGCCAATCAGGTAAGTTTAGTTATTAAAAATACCATGAGTAAAAAGTGATCATTTTTTACAGAACATTGCTACTTCCAAGCTAATCGATGGGATTCTTATAATTTAGACAGGGTTTGGTTTTGGCAAAGATATGTAATGACATTCACTGATAAGGTATGGACATTTAATCAGTTGATTTGTATGGCCATTAAGCATTTTGAGCCACTAGGGGTTTGGTTTTATTGAGTTTACTTGGCCTAATCGCGCCTAACTGTTGCCAAGAGTCTCGAACAAGACTAGTGGCTAAATTCGTCGTCAATACGTTTGGGTGCATTTAATGGGAAAACCGGAATCTGAATTAGAAAGCAAATTGCAGTAAATACAAGCTAAAACATGAATGTATACGTACAATAGGGTGTGTAATCAACATTAATGTTTACTAATGACAGTAAGAAATGGATGCAAAGCGATGCCGTCAAACGAAGCTAAAAGGTCAAGTCATTAACTTAAACCAGCAATCACGTTCATTCTAAAATAACAATTTTGTGAAATTAATTTCTCATAATCCACAAAACAATGACGGAACAGCTAGTTAAATCTACTCTCCAGAAATTACGCCTAGTTGCTAAAAGTCAATATAATTAACCCTGTTGTAAGGAAATTTGCAAAATTTCCAACAAATTTCATCCAATTTATACAAAATATTCAAGTGCAATCGTGAAGACTACAAAACAACGCGCTTGTGCACTTCACGAAAACTCCCATTTTCCAAGTACACGGTGCCTGAATTGCTCACCGTTTCAAAAAAAAAACCAGTTCCAATGATATCCAATACCCGCAAGACTTGCTGGGTGACACACCACTAACACTTCAAGTAAACAATTCATGTGTGCCTATTTCCTCGCAGCTTTCATTCCGCATTTCAAATAGCCAGAAATGAATGCGACATAGGGAAAAGCACCAGAATGATCTGTGCGTTTTAAAGATCCATTTCCATGCACGTTGGCAGATCAGCCTTTCTAGAACTCGCCGGGTCGCCTACAATGTCGCGACACTAGCACAGGGGCAAAATCCGCAATTGTGGCTCTCTATTCATCTCCTAAATTGACCGGTAGTGTCACGACAGAAAACTATGTTAACATATACACCCATCAAAAGCAAAAGCAACTGCGCCGATCAAATCACATGAAAACCACTACTTCGCAACAGT